GGAACCCTTATCGAGCCGGCTGAATATGTTCGCTGGTTGGGTGTCTACCTAGATCCCCGTCTGACCTTTAAGCACCATGTAATAACATGGTGCGGTAAAGCTTTGAAAGTTGCACAGAACCTGCGCCGCTTCAACACTGCTCTCCGAGGAGCCGCCCCAGGAGCGCTTATCAGAGCAGTCGACATGTGTGTTGTTCCTATTGCGACATTTGGTGCAGAGATCTGGTGGCCAGGTCTCAAACGCCCTACGAGAAAAAGCATGACAACCCCACCAACGGCATATCTATGTGGCATGATTGACAAGGCTGTCTTGATGGGTCTACGAGCTGCTCTCCCGGTAATGAAGACGACAGCGAACGTGGTACTGCATAGAGAAGGTGTAATTCCACCGGGCAAAATCATTCTGGAGGGTAATCGACTTCGACTGTCAGTTAGGCTCAAAACTCTGGATGACCGCCATCCGCTGAAGATTCGTGCGGCTGTGTGCCCAAATATAGGCACGCTGAAATACAAGATTAGAAATCGAGGGACTTCGGTTCCTGAAGTAATAATGTCACGAGTACAGCGAGCGTACCGAAAATTACCAGAGGCTGAGGGTGCGGAAGCACTACCACCCACATCCTACTTACCGAAAGCAGGATCTAAAGAAGAGCAAATTGAGAAATGTAGACAATGGATCAACCAGGTGTCGAAGTCGGAAATTTGTGCCTACTCGGATGGCTCATCGGAAGGGAATGGACGCTCTGCGTGGGGTTTCGTTCTGAAGAGAGACAGGCAGACTTTGCTCACAGGAAGTGGTATCAGGCATGGGGGGGAGGCCTTAGATGCGGAAATCACCGGGGCAAGGAAGGCTCTTGAAGCAGCATTGGGATTCCAGAGCGCGAGACAACGAGTCTACCTACTAATGGATAGTCAACAGGCGATCAACGCACTTGAGACAGGCAAGTCCACCACAAGCCACGACGAAGTACGGAAATTTCGTGAGTTGTCCAAATCAGCTCGCGTGATAATTAAATGGGTACCTGGACATTCAAGAATTCAGGGTAACCTAGAAGCTGACTCGGCCGCCCGGTATGGCCTACGAATGCTGCCTAGCCCGGAAATACGGCCAGAATCCATAACTCTGGCATTTCTGCATGGCCAAATGAATCGTTTGCGGCAAGCATTGCTCGACAAATGGTGGAACGAAGCTTGCCCGCCCCGATATCGCAAGCTCGACCTGCTCATGCGACGACGAAAACCACCTGAGCTGGGACTTTCGAGGTTCCTACTCCGAAATCTGATTGCAGCTCGTACTGGCCATGGCAATTTCGCTGCGTATCATCGCCGTTTCAACAATATGGACGCTCTCATGGAGTGCACCTGCGGGAAGGATACCACTCCAACCCATTTCATTCACTGTCGACTACATTCACACGTCACGCGTCGACTCAGAGGGAGATTGTCACAAAGTGACTTCATCCAAAAGCTTCTCGGGCCAAAGTGTCCCGAAATTTTCAAAAACTTTGTTAAGGAAACCAGCTGTTTTGGGTTGCCATCTACAAATTCGTCCCCTGATCTCATCGAGGAGCATATAAATTAGTCATACAGATGATATGACAGGAAGGAATACAAGGCGAGAAGATTTGTTTTCTGACCGGAAATTGGGAAATCTGCAGGGCTGTATAGTTTTGTGGGTAGGAGTTTGGTTTCAAAGGTTGAATTCATGTACGGTCGCGAATTTTTAACTAGCTACTTATTGTTTAGTGGTTCATGCGGTGGGATCAAGTTGGGCTTATCAGAGATAGGATCTTGGCTGTGAAAACCGGTCCTTGACTATTCGGGGATAACGGGTTAGACTTAGGACCTAAATGAATAAACAAACAAACAAACAAACAAACAAACAAACAAACAAACAAACAAACAAACAAACAAACAAACAAACAAACAAACAAACAAACAAACAGTGCCCGGTCCTTGACTCCTAGGAGATATAGAGCATAGCTTAGGACCTAAAATTTATTATTAAACAAACAGTGCTTTAAAGCCCCGTGCCGGTTAGCTCAGCCTATAAAGGGCTACCCGACGCGAAGCTTTATTATAAACTATGAAGGCTATAAATAATTACAAGATTGTCACATGACCAAATCATGTGAGACTTAAATACCATCACAACAGGCACGCGCTAGCGTCACGGTGAGGTTCCGAGCGCGCGTTGTATACTTAGTATACAATGGGTGTGGGTGTAAGATTGGGGTGATATCACGTGGTGTCTCGTGGCTCCTAACTACAACGGATCTTGTGTAGAGCTTGAGACTAATACGTAAATTCTATATCCTTCAAGTGTCGGATGTCTATGTGTCTATATACATTGATTACTCCTTACTACTCAACGCTAGTAGATCTACTGCTGTGGTCGCGGGCTGTGACCGCGGACTCTGACAGTGCGATTTGCTGCGCGTGAGGTCATAGGATAATTACGATTACGTGTGTGTGTGTGTTTCCTACATCTAGCTAATTCTCGCCCTGTAGATCTATCCGGGATCCACAACGGGGTGACGCGCTTGACGGCAAGAAACATCTCGGGCGCTCGTCATTGCCTAATTCCCAAAAATAAAATATAAATTTATCTTTGAACCTATAGTTGAGAAAAACAAATGTGAAGTCACTTGACAGAATATAAAAATATCTTTAATACGAATACGAATATAGTCATTGGAGGATACGTAGATATCACTCCTGTCAGTTCTCGTCAAGCAAGAAATGTACCTCCACTGCCATCCACAGAAAATTATCACGACAGTGGCACATATGCAGGACTCGAGCCATTCGACGGGCTCGATGTAGAACTCTCCATATTCAAAACTTCTTGCTCCTAGAAAAGATATGAGCTTTACAATGCAATCACTTGTCGCATACCGTGTATGTAGTCTTGCAGGATAACTAACCATTCTCTTCATATGCGAAGGCTGTCAGAAGTTTGCGTAATTGGGGCTGTCAGGTAAGACGCGTTGTAGATGGATTCGTGACTACAAATTGTCCAGTTAGTTTCACCCTGGTAGCTACTTGGATAAATGCGCTCTATAACTTTATGACTGAGAGGCTGACAAAGATGAATTCTCCACCTTCCAGTGGCGTTGCTGCAATCGCTCAATAGGCTTTGCTTATCTGAGATAGCTAAGAAGAATCGCATCCGCATTGAAGTCGAGGGCAATCTTAAGCATATCTAAAACCAACGACTTCTCGTCAATGTCGGGTCTATCATTCTCACGCGAGTCCTCTACCTCAAGATTTCTAAAACAGCTCGCCTCAACTGCCGATAAAGGCGTTACTGGTAGAATTTGGAATAATCGGGGCTATCATGAAGGCCAGGTTGCTGATGCACACGTGACTAGAAATTAAGTACTCAGTTCTGCTTTGGTAGTTACTTGAATGAAAGCGCTCTAGAACCTCAGTGACTGAGGGGTCATTATTTCATCGATAGTTACTCCAATTGCTATCGGTAATTGGCCTCAGCAAAAGCCGGCCATCTCCTACTTTAAGGTTACGATGCCATGTATATCCGCAGGACGGAAACTAAGTCGTAATATACAAAGCTCGGGTCTTGGTCAATGGAAAATCGTTGCCTTTATTCGGCTTCTCATCTTGAGGTAGGACAGGCAACTGGGACGTGAGACGAAAGAGTGAAGATACCACACATGGACACGCTGGGACTCCCATTTTTCGAGTGTTTCCGACATTGGGGTACTCGCGGGCGCCGAGGCAATAATTTCGGACATTCCTACCGATACTCTAAAAACAGACGATGCAAGGTGTTGTGTTCGGTCTCATCATCGTTGTCTCACCAAATTAGAGTCTGGGTGGCCTGGAGACCTGCTTCCATCGAGAAAGAGATGACTGCGAGGCCATATCTCGCATGGTGGCTATCTACAAGATGGCAAAGGCATGTTAGGGTAGCCAAATATTTTCCCTGTTTTTCCTTTAGTGTATATTCAGGGTTGAAGGAAGGGTGAGAGTACTTAGCACCAAGATCTTAAGCGGTATCAGCGATTGCACTATTGTGATGAGGAGAAGAGATATTGCATGCAAGGAGTAGCTTTAATACTATGATGCGTTCGTCACTGTTATAGAGAGGACGGTGATCTGTTCGCTTTATTAGAATCATATCGAGGGTTGATATCTATATATAGGAGAACACTCCTATTTATACCTAGAACTCATCTATCGACTTCCTAGTAGAATATTCTTTCAAGTGCCATAGAATAGTTTATATTCTTGTTCATCTCATCTACATACAATTATCTAAGTTCAGGTTAAAACATGCACTCACTACATGAGTGGTCCAAATGTGAACCTGATTTATCCTCGTTTGAGTCGCCGGGGAAGGTCTAGCCTTCTACGTGTCATGCCATATGAACACTACGCTTGTGCTCATCACGAATAGATATCCAGTCGTTCATTCATAACTGAGGGCTTATTATTCCCTTAATGAATATTTGGTTTGATGTGAAGATTAATATTCATTTTCTTTCAGTATCACTAAATTGGAGCCAGCTTAAGAATCGTCGAGTGAACTGTAATATTTTTCGACTTCACACTTGCTTAAATGAAAGTTCCAAATCTACCAAACCTCAAGACCTATTACTTGTTGTATTTTCAAAACATTAGGGGAGAAAATTAAAACTAATTTCTAACTAACTGCAATTAGTAATGTGGAGCTTAATAAGTTACAAAGCTGATCGAACCAATCTATTCTCACTAGCAGTGCAAAGTATACCAGTAGAAATTTCTTTTAGTATACGTTAGCTAGTTTGCAGATAGAAAAATTCAAACAGGAGGATATCTGTTTGGAGAACCCATTCGCTCGTTTACTTTATTTGCAAGCATATGCCTTAGGTAAAATGGATTCTATTGATTGAAAAGACGAGAATTTAACAGGATAGCCCCGAAAAGTCCAAATAATAGCACTATTATTATTACAACCAGCCTAGTCAAACTCCGAGAGATTTTAGGTATGAATGTTCAAGCCGTTAAACCTTTAGCTTCACTCTCGGAGTAAAAGACAACCATCCGCCAGAGTTTTTTAACCAAGACCTCAGCTTCATCATCTAATGCCTGTGTAGATTATTAGAGTTTGTTATAGGAAGGAGGGATAATACGTACACCTTCAAGTTGTTCAACCAAGTCCTGAGGCTTTCCTCTTTCTCGAATATGCCCTTCTACAACTTCTACGAGCAATTGCTCTTGCACACCAAGGTATTCAACAATCTTCTTTTCGATGAACGGTCTTAATTTCTCAACGATTACAGAATCGTCCACTAAATTCCATTTTATTTCCCAATTCCATAGTCCTTCTTTTTCGGTGGGTATTCGAGAAGCTAGCTGTCGAATTGCCTGATCTCTTTCTTCGTCCGTCAGATTAGACGAGGAGTTTAGAGCTGGGTCAAATTTAATTGGAACAAGGATACGCTTAGAGACCTTATCAACATCCTCCTCATCTTCCAATAGCCCTTCAACTTCGGCTACAGTGCGTCGGGGTGGAGCTGCCTTTTCCTTCAGGATCTTTTGAGCAGCAGCACCCAGTGATAACTTGAATGGCTGTTGAATCTTGCCCAATTCTGGCCTTGACTTTAGGTCTTCAGGTACACGTTGGGCTGGCGATCTATTTGTACTATGAGCTTGCTCTTTATCGGCCAATTCTTGTTCAGACTCTTGATGTTCATTGAGTCGATCACGCTCGTCAGCTGCTGCCTCTCTCGCACGAAATGCTGCTCGGTTGCGGATCCAGATACTACGATCGGCATAGTAACCTTCTATCTTTCGGGTAGATTCGACATCGTCGTTCCACTCTCGGAGCCGCTGACTTAATTTTTCTCTTTCAGATTTCTCTTTCAATTCATCTTCCTCTTCACGCTCTTTCTCTCTTTGAACTGCAGCAGTTCTTGATCGTTCGCGATTTAGCCAGCGTCGCTCCTGATCCAAGAAATGTTTTTCTAATTCAGATTCTCTCTTCGCTTTCCGTCGGCGTTCAAGCTCTTCATCGCTAGCAGGGTCATCCTCGTCTTCACGGTCTACCCATACACCTCCAGATATAGCTCCATTAACACCGCTAACGTTAACGAAAGGTATATTTCTTTGATAGTCTCGGGGAGCTTGAGAGGAAATTTTGGGTCCCGATGGCGCTTTTGGGATACCTCGAGGGCCTAGAGGGATATTATTTGTTCCAGCGGCAGGACCATTTGGGACTTTAGGGCCTGGCGAAGAAAGCCTTGATGTACGTGAGGCTCCATTACGCTGTCTCTCCAAAGCTTCAGAATCTTCTTCTCGCTTTAATCTTTCCATATCTCTTCTATTGCTTCTATCCCTGAATGCGGCGATTTCTTGAGCTACCGTCTCCCGCATTTCCACTGGAATATCGGCTAGTTCATCATCCATTGCCAGAGGAATATTTACCACTTCGACATTATCTGTATGATCTGACTCCTGAATTGTGTGAGGGTCTCCAATTTCATCTGATTTTACGAACTGGGGGGGATTAAAAAGCTCATGAATGGCAACTTTCAGGGCGACCCTGGCAGAGTCTAGCCTAGCTTTTACGACAGCTTCATCACGGCCGTGAGCCTCCCAATTTTTGAGATACTCCCACGAGTTATCATCCACAAAGACAAGTAGAGTCCCCTTTTCTATCTTTGCCATATCTTTTTCTGTCTGCGCCCCATCTTTTGCCGATTGCTTCTTGAGAGGTATCTCAACGTCTTTCAAGATATTGACAGCTGTAGATAAACTCTCCGGGTCGTCATACTGAGCAAATCCAAAAGAGCATGGCTTTCCATCAGCTTCGGTCGCTCTGTCCCATCTTCTCAACCGGCCCACCATACTTAAGATGCGTTCAATTCCTTCATCCCCTACCCCTTCTGTTATACCTCCTATGAATATTGTGCGAACTATTTCCTCTTTAGTCGGTGGTATAAGAGACATTAAGGCCTGGCGCTGTGCTTCAACTCCTCGATCGATTCCAAGCCCGGCTCTGATCCCCGCAGACTTAGATTCTTGACTTTGTCCTCCAGCCCCACTTAGTTGAGTATTTTGTTTCATTGGTCCGGTGCCCAGTCGTATAACAGGTGCAGAAAAGTTGATGTTAGGCATGTTAGTGGGACCCTGAAAGCTAGCAGGTAAGCCATTTGGCCTATTTGATGGAGCAATGTTGACATGTTGAGCTCCAAGTGGTGGAGCCGTACCAGGCGCCGACATGCCTGCGAAATGATAGCTGTGAATCAGTGTTCTTTTACCCTAAAAATCAAAGATCCTTACCTATTCCTGGCGGAGGGCCCATTCCTGTTGGAGCACCAGTTTGGGCAGAAAATGATCCAAAACCTGGAGGGTGTCCATATGGTACGGCTGGCACTAAGTCTATCAGCTCCAAACGTTGTACCCAGGTTGCATCAATTCTGACTGACCTCCGTATGAGTTATAGGCCATTTTAACTTCGACTGCAAAGGTGATGGTATTTCAGATCAATCCGAAGAATATTTCGGAGACAGGGAGATAAGTGGTTTGGTTTCGAGAAAACGTTAAAACAATACTTCACTATTTTAGTTGGGATCGGGCTTCCTAGTAATTTGATTTCGTGCACAGGCCACCTATCATTTAGTATTCTATAATGTCGTCCAGAGTCAATGCTAGCATAATCTAACTTCTATTCTACCAGGAAGACCAGCTGATGTATGTTGCTTTGGGATAATTATTTCATGGTAACTTACTAACTGTCCATCAGTCCGATGCAATTTCGAACGTCAGCTGTCGGACTTGTTCATTTCCAATCCTTACATTTGAATAAACTGCACATACAATGGTCTGCAGCGCGATGGGGACGATTTTTGTTCAATAACAGCGAAATATGTCTGACTCAAAATGCCACAAGAAAGATATCGGATACAACACCACGCGAAATCTTCAGAATACCAAAAACTAGTGCCACGCCAAAGGCATCAGAGAGCTTTACGCCTACTTTGCCTGACACTAAAGCGAATGAGAGTAGCATTAATAAATTAGAAAATCAGAGAAAGACCCTCAGATCTTCATGGGTAGATACATCTTCGAAAATGAATAGTCCAAGTAGCAAGACCAATTCTATTAATTTAAAAGGCATGATAAACTCTTGGATAAATGTCAATAATACGCCACCGTCAGCCCGACCGGCAAATTCATCTCAAGCTGGCAAAACATTTGCTTCACCTAATTTAGATTCTTGGTCTAGCTCCGACTCGGTTTTTGTTGCGGCGGACAAGCAGCGACAAACCGAAAATCAAGCAAACTGGGATAAAATGCTACCAATGTCTTCCTCAGATCTTTCAAACTCACCAACTTCTGCGTTGCTGAAATCGATGGGCGATGTAATAAAGATGAAAGCCGCTCGACAACCTATTGACCTCTCACCCAGCTCGGGACGCTGTGTAATTATCACAGAAAAGACCGACGTTATGACAGCTTTCAAGCAAATGGAGGTCAGTTGTAACAAGAATCGTATTAGGCGAGAGGCAAATGCTCAACGATTTCATGAAAGACCTGGTCTAAAAAGAAAGCGCCTCAAACAACAAAGGTGGAGGCAGAGGTTTTTGACTGGATTCAAAGCGGTAGTGAATAGGGTTCAAGAACTCAAGAGACAGGGTTGGTAGAAGGCAAAGCGAGAGGACATTATCACTTCTTTCGCTGGACATCATCTGAGCTAACCATAATTCGTAAACTAATTTGACATAAATCTAATATCACAAATGCAAAAGATGGAGAGGATCGTTCTATACAGCCATAGACGCTGAGAACGCTTCGCCGAGGTACAGGCAGTCAAGTTATATTAATTTATTAAGAGTTCATGTGCAGGTCAAAGGTGAAGCTTGCTCCTAAAAATTAGATGCTAGGATAGCTTTTTATCGTTCACAGCAAAAGATGAACCAAAATTTGGAAAATTATTAGTTTATTTAGGGTTGAATTTCTTGAGACTTAGGGTATTTCATGACCAATACCTCGAATGACGAAAAAACGGAGAGTGACAAGGAGCTATGAATTAACTATCCACAGTTTAGTTATAGAATTCGCAAGAAAAAATATTTGTGACTTTGTATAAAATTATGTAATCTAAGGAAAGTGAAGTATTTGTTGTGTCTTGTAGACAGAATTTACAACATCACATGGACCTTACGGACTAACTAGTCGGATAGGAGAGATAATTTGTCCTTCAAGGTTACTGAAGAGTATTTGTAGCTTTTCTGGTTTGTCCAGGACCATAGCTAAGCTCTTCAAGTTCGTAATGGTACGAGACCTTTACGGACAATTAGGGTTCTGTATGTATGTTTATTGTACTACTTGAGTCATAGACTATCTAGCACATTGGGCTCCTACTTGACCCAGACCGCACTTTGTAAAGTGCTCCTTGCCTCTCACGTTCCTTTAAAGATCAATGATATATTGCCCGTGATGAATAGCCATTCAGCCCAGTATATACCCGTGGAATTCGGCCACCTTTTCCACGGAACCTTCTACCCAAAAAAATAAAATGGTAGCAATGGAAACTGCGTGCGCGGGAAAAAGTCTCGAAAAACCTGCAGCCCCAGCCAGGCGAGGCCTAGACACCGGGACCACATGAGCTGCGCATATTCATCTATATCTCCCTTCTTCGTAACATTCGAGGCCGACCTGATCCAATCCACCATCTCCGTATCGGGTGCAGGGTACGCTCCGGAAACTCATGGGATGGCTTTTCCTCCATGATCAAGTGTTGGTGATTAGTAGGGCTTCGACCCTACCATCTGATCTGATCGTGGTTAGCTTCATGATAATGGTGATAGGGGAATGTGTTGAGATACGAGGACGATACAGGCCGCGAAAGCGATTGGAAATCCTCATAGAAGGACTTTGTTACTCAATCTTGGCTCTGCAGACTCTACAGTAAGAGCTGGAGGTTCGTAGGAGACACCACTGATAGGTGTTCAGGGTAGTCCCTCGAGCCATGAGAGTGCTCTTGCACGTCTTGAGAAGGATTGTCTCAAAAAAATTGATCTTAACTGTTTGTTCGTGTAATCATCTTGTTCAATGCCCTGGGCCAAAACCCTCTCTATTTAGACGTTGGCTGGTTGGAGACGGCCGGGAAATCTCATAGTATTAGCTGTGCACAGGTATGGATCCCATATTGACAGATCTCTATGTTAGTACGAGGCTATGATAAATTGTAACGCTTATGTATTGATGATCATGTCTGAGTCCGGGCACAATGATGATGATGATGATATTTTAATCGTGACCGGGTACTACCCCAGCACCCAGAGAGCATGGCACGGGTAGTCCAGATCTTATTATGACTCTTCGCAAAATACATCATTGCTTCGTAGAAATCTAGAAACAAAAATTAGAAACAAATAAAACCACTATTTCTAAGGTGCTAGTGCCCTGCACCTTAGTCCTCGTACCACACCGAAAGGTCCAAAGAAGCAGTACAGTTGATCTTTAAACCCCATGTTTGATTCATTCTTGCTTTAATATTTTGTTACAGTTACAAAATGCCAGAATTTCTGCCATCCTTCTAGCCCTATCTGTTATGAAACTCGGTTATGAGTGGATAGAGATATACCTGTACTATTGGTTGATCAAGCGGGTGTGCAAGCTGGTGAGCTGTTGGGGTCTATCTGTAGGTGAGTTGAGACTGTAGTAGATGAGAGTTTAGAATAGTTGATTGATGATATCTACTTGCAGAGTTATTACTCTGTTATATATATGTCTCCCTCGCTTGTCCTTACTCTACATGACCACACCACACCACTCCTTCTCTAACTCCGACGGAGAGTTCCTTGACTCATCCGTATCCCTCATCAATTATGTGCCACTGAATCCTAGACGTATATTCATGACACAGAACCCCAGAGATACTATGTTCCCTAGTGGTGGCTCCTTAACTCCGTTGGGTTGTGTTGGAAATTCTGACCCTCGAATTTAGGACTCAACCATTACCTACTTCGTCTCAGGTTCCCCACAATATCGACTCTCTCTATACATGTCCCGAGTACGCTAATCGCGCCTACTGTCGCCTATACGTTTGGATATTTACGTACTACAGTGTATCTTGGCTCTTTTTTTTTTTTTATAAATCATTTAATGTGTATTCAGCTATCTAGCTATGACACATGACCGGCGCTATGTCTACATGTGGGATGACTCTTTTGACGTTAGAGACACTCATACTCTGGATTTCATTTGCAAATACCACTATGAGGTATGTTTGCTTACACAAACAGTCGACCCTCCTCCGTTAGTACTCACCAAAGGGAATTTAAAAACCTTTGATTATCCAAGCATGCCTTCGTCATCCATGCATACCAGCGCCGCGAGAAATGTGGTTGTGTTTTGCCGGATTCGAACCAGCGATCTACTGTCTCAAGTGGGATATGTGTCCAAGCTATCCAGACTCTACTTGGCAGACCGGCCAAGATGATGTACCATGGCAGTTTTTATAGTGTCGCCTGCACTCTCGCAGCCGAAGACTTGGCACGAACAAAGCTCAATTTGTAAAAACTCCTTGCCAAAATTCAAAATTCCACGCCCGTCGAGACTGTATCCAATCCTCTGCATCATCTTATTAACTTGTCCTGATCCCTCTCACATCCATCCCAAGGAATTGTCTTCCGGATTTGTGCGCCACGCTTTGCTTCCTCCGTCGGGTGTAAATATCGGCGTGGGCGTGTATCTGGCGACCAGCTAAGGTCAGAGAAAGTCGACAAGAGGTGTGGTCATTGGGATTAGGATGTACTAGGTCGTACTTGTAAACTTGATGAGGTTTAGGTAGGAATCGATTTCGTTGGGAGTGAAAGATTGATATGGTGGAGTAATTTGAATCATTGCCTCGTGGGCCAACTTGTTCGGTATTGCGAAGTTTGACTGAACTTGGCTCTGGGAGAATATTTCACTCCCAGGTTCGTAGAGGACACCGCGTACAGGTGTTCAGTCTTGCCCTCCGTATCTTGGCTCATCATGGTAGATGAGAGGTGGCTGGTCATTACTAGGTTTGACAGGCACACAAGACTAGCGGGAATTTCTCCCTTAGATGTACATATAAGTCCAATGTTCCCATAGTTGTAAAACACCAAGTCTTCTTTACTTCATCATATTTATCCATATAATATCGTACAGAGTATATTTTCCAACAGGTTGCTTGTTGTTGCATGGTGGCAGTGCGTCCCAGGTACGAGACTTGTCGGGCACCACGCATCTGCCGCGAGCTGACTCTTCTAGATCAGATTCATGATATTCACAACACTATCATATCCCTGATCGTAGGACGTGGTTCCTTCGTTTCCGTCCTCCATTTCTGGATAGTCGGGCGACACTCTGCAAAATGCCATGGCCGCTTTTCTCGGCCACATCTGCAAAGCATTTCTTCATTCTGGTGTTGGAACCGTCTACGATAGCTGGCGAAGTCACCATGCCTAGTCCTTGCTGCGATGAGGCGGTGATATGCCCATCGAGGTAGAGCTAGCTCCGCAGGGCGCATTCTCCGCATCAGTAGGTCTAGATCTTCATACCTACTCGATCTGTTTTTAAGCCACCATTCTTCCGCAAGTTTTTGTACCCGGATACTGACCTGGCGCTTGAAAGTTGCAAAAGTCAGAACTTCGTGAGTTTCCTCCCACATTCACTCTGGCCCTGGTATGTTTCCATCCCGATTATTTGACGCAAGGATTGCATTTGCCATCGCATCGGTCCTTTCGTTTCCTGGCATACCGCTATGTCCCGGAACCCAGTAGACCTCTATCGCTGGTCGAGTCTTGCGTAGTTCCCTGAAATTCATGACCTCTACTTGCGAGGAATTTGTTTTGCCATTTTGAAGGGCTCTGACCGCCTCTTGATTGTCAAGGAGTACCTTGATAGTTGTGCTGCCACCAATTTCTAACGCTGCCTCTAAGCCTCGTACTGCCTCGGTGATTTCCGCATCAAAGACCTCAGCTCCAGGAAGGAAATTTCCACCTCTAGCTATAAGTTTACCGCCCCTATATATGGCGTAACCATAGGCTGAGTATGCTGGGACGGTCGATGACCCATCAGAGTAGACGCAGAGTGTTCCTGGCGGAACATCCCTGAGCCAAAACATGATCTGCTTCGTCTTTTCCTCCTTGTCGCATTTGGACCTGGCAGTAGCCATCGTGATCTTTGGTTAGTAAAGCTGCCTAGGCCCTTCTGATGCCGGCAGGCTGAGGCTCCCATTTTGTAGACGTGTTAAATATCGCTGTGGAACCTTAAAGACACGTTCTTTCTGCCCCTCTCGTAGTTGGAGTCGCTTGATTGCCTCCTTGGGTGTCTCAACTGCCCTTGACAATAGTGGATGATGACTGTCGAGTCAGCAAATTCTTGCCGCACTTCGGAGCTGTCGCTGCTGAAGCATTATTTCTGCAGGTAAGATCCCTGATTCCCGGTGCAGGACTAAGTTTGGTGTTGTTCGCCACACTGGTAGTGCAGCTCGGATTGCGGTCAAAATAGTCCTATCTATTAACTTGAGGTGACATCCGACACCCGTACTTACTTTCTTGTCTCGTATCGTCGTGATACGGGTCAGTCCAGGCCACCAAGCTTCAGCGCCATACACTGCCGTACTAACTACACATGCATTCACCGCACGTATTAATGGTCCCAGAGC